GTGTTTTGTTTTGTTTTTACTGTACTTGGTATGTTAAAAGCTCTGGCACTGGTACATTTTTTTTTTTTTAAAAGAAAAAGCCTATTTTATAAATTTGACAAAAATAAGAGAGAGAGAGAGAGAGAGAGAGAGAGAGAGAACATGAATTTGCCTGGCCATGCATAAGACAACTCTGAAAGGAAAATAAATAAATTGATGGCATTGATTCCTGACTGCTGGCTGAAGGTCAGGTATACAGGATACCTTTTGTTATAAATCCTTTTGTATTTTTGACATATTGAGCATATATATATATACATATATACATATATATGGAGTATATTGCAAATGCTAATGAAAAGACAAATTAAGAAAATGATAACAAAAATTATAAAGCTCTCCTCAGCCTGTCAGCTCATCTCTAAGCAAATAAAGCATTCTCAGCCTTCATTTTGTGGTCTAAAGACATCATTCTCATTCCAGTTCAGAAATCAGAATCCCTCTCTACAAAGATCCAGACCACAGGAGGAAATAAGTATGTTGCAAGATACTCCATGTTCTGCTAAGAAATCCCAAAGATTCTTTCCAGTTGTCTCCTTGTTCATATAAATCCCCGCTCCACTGAGATCACTCCACAACTGGCATGTCTTAGATCCTACTCCTCTTAAGCTTCTCTGGGAATTATTCTCAGAACCCACCTGGTTTCCCAACAAGACCCAGCTGCAGGCTCCCTGAAGCTCTAGTGCACAGGGAAGCCCTTCTCCAAGATCCTTCTGATCAATAGGCCTTTAAAATGTATTTGATCTAGATTCCTTTACTCTAGATCTTTCTTTCACATCCAATCATCCTAATTCTGCTGTGTCCTTCCCATGTCAATCATACTTCTGCAATCCTGCTTTTCAGGAGTAAGTCTAATTGATTTAATCTTGGGTACACTGCCATGATTCCAAACCATTGCAGAAGGATGACAGGAAAAGGTCAAGCAAACAGGAAGCCAGTGTTCACCACATCTCATAGGGACCACTGCCAACCAACTCCTGAGCAAGACTGGCTGCCAAGAAAGCCTACCTCCAAGTCCTCAGGTCTTACCGAAGGGCCTCCAGTAATCATGTCCACAACTCATGATAGGAACAGCACAATGGCTTAGGTCTAATTAGAATAGAGCAAAAGGAGCAACCTGTAGTGTTCTTATTAACAGTAGCCTCTTTTTGTCTTCGTTTAAACATAAGATAGAATTTAAGGATAAAATCTAAACTAGGCTGAAACTAGAATTCCCCAGAAGGCTCATGGATTAAAGGCTTTTTTTTTTTTTTTTTTTTTTTGCCAGTACATGATAGGATTTGGGGAGGTGATTGGACCGTGAGGACTGACTTCATCAATGGATTAAAGCATTGATAGATTCATAATTAGATAGGCTATTGAAAGATGATAGAAACTAGGAGGAGGGGTATGGTTGGCGTAAGCCTGTCCCTTGCACTAAAGCCCCTTCCAATCTCTTAGCTTCAGGTTTGAAAAGAGATAAGCAGCCCGCTCTGTCACGTGCTCTAGCTACTACAATGCTCTAGCTCACCACAGGTCCTTTGCAATGGAGCCAGCTGGTCACACACAGAAACCACTGAAACTGGGAGCCAAAGTAAATCTTTCCTCCTTTAAGGTGATTTGCTCAGGCATTTTATAATAGTGACAAAAAGGTCACTAAAATAGGAGGTGTATTTCAGATCTGGCTATCTAACAACCATCAGTCCTTGGGCTACATACATTCACTGGGGAAAAAAAAACACAAAATATACCCACTTTAGGAAGGGAAATAACATTCCATTCTTTTGCAGGCAATTACAACCTCAGGTGACCTGAGCTAGCAAAATGTCTCACTCAGAATAAACATTTCCATCATGTGACAACAGTGTGGTTTAAGGGTGCTCCAGAGAGCTAAAAAGAGTGGCAGAGGTCTTGGGCATATTAGCCAAAAGAATGCTCAATTACAAGAATGAAGAATTTATTTCAGGTCATGTGGCTGTTCACCGATTAGCACAGGTTTCAAAGCCTACCAAATTCCTCCACATGGAAACCTAATATTTGTACTAGCAACAGGGAAGGGCTGACAGCTGATAGGAGGGAGGTCAGAAGCTCAGGATCTATGTTACCTCATGCATGAGCTGCCTCTTGAAAAATAACAACACAGACATAAAAACAATCCTTCAGGAAAGAGGAGGGATAGAGGGAGAGAAGGGATGGGAGGAAGCAAGGGAGGTTAAGAAAGAAGAGGACCAGGGAAATGAAAGCAATTGTTCTAGGGGCCTACATCCAAGAAGCAGGAGCTCTCCTTCCTAATATAATCCTTGCAAAGGGACTGAGTTGTTGTGGCTCAGCACTAACTGCTTTCTTCCACAGACGGACTGTCACTCCCAAACACTACATGTGTGATCCCGAGAGTGTTGTGTGCAGGCACATGACTCAACTGACTGAAGGAGATGCCAACCTGGGGATTTTGTTGGATTCTTTGAGGAAGAGAATCTCTTTAAAAGCTGCCAGACCAGCAGGATATGTGTATACAACTACAGACAGCCGTCTTTATCACTGGCCTTCCTGAGAATAAGGACCAAGTGATATAGTAAGGCAGATGTTTAGTGATCCTGTGATACTTCCTGGGTCCAGTCATAATGGACACTAACTCTTGTTTATCAAGCTGTGACACAAAATTTTCTTTCCTTCCTGTTTTTGTTATATACGTGGTTTTGAGCTGAGTCTCTGCTACTGAGCCTTCTCCCAGAGCTTTGTGAACTCTGCCTCCAAAGACCTAATATGCTCACATGTAATCACATCTTAGAGCATTGGTAAAATGACTAAACCAGGAGAAAAGTCAATGGTTTGCCTTAGATTATTTAAGAAATGGTCTATTCAGTTTATACTTCACACAGACTGGTCTGTATGACCTGTCTGACCTTCACAGTGTGTTAATGACATATCTAAGTATACATTTCCATTTCTACTATGCTTAATAACACAACCAGGGAGTTACCCATAAGAGCCCGCTATTACACAGTAAGCTAAGGGCTGCATGCACAAGACCTCATTTACTCTTTGGAACAATGAAAAAGTAGCAAGTATCACTAGCCATGTCCAATAGAGGAAGAAACAGAGACTTGTGAGGTTAAATCATGTGGCCAGGAACACAAAAGCTAGTGAGTAGCTGAGCTCAGGTGAGCGCTGAAGATCTAATGGAACTGCACTATCATCAATGGAAGCTATCGCTCTCCCCCCAAGGGAAAGGCCTTCCTTTCAGCAACACTATTTTCTACTAAGAAGTGCATTTGCAAGAGCAATAGAAGGAATGTGCCCCCATGTAAGAACTGGCCACTAGTATTTCTCTAGCAAACCGAAATATGACAGGTATCTATGCAAATAATCCTGGCACTTATCCGAAAGGAACAATATTCATATTTTGAATTTTGAAATGCCTAAACAGGGGGAGATGAAGATAAACTAAATATCCACAAAATGCAGAACACTATGAGAAGTGCTTAATTCTTAAAAGTTTTATTTGGTCCCTACCATTCTACCCATTTTAAAGATTAAAAAAATGAAATTCACAGAGAATAAGTAACAAATTTGTCCAAGTTTAGAGTGTTAGTGAGCAGAACGGTCAGTAAGTGAGTAGAGGTGTTTCTAAACCTACAACTTATCTTTCACATCTCACCATTCCAGATACTTCAAGGTCAAAACACCCTGCTTGCTCTCAAGTAAAGGAGCTCTAAGCCTAAATTCTCTAAGTACCTATAGAAAATGGAACAAAATCAAGAAAACATTCTTTTGGAAAGGGCATGTGCATGGGCTCACCTGCATGAGCCATCAGGAGCAAAACAACACTGAATCTCCATTGTTATTGTGTTAAATGTACCATGTGATTTTATTTTTGGTTGTTGTTGTTTCCTTTATATGTTCTTTCCCCTATGGCATATCCCTTGTTGTCACTGTATTTGATTTTGGTACCCTGCATCTTGTATATACATATGTCTAATCTGGGGAGGAGAAGGGGAATAATAAAACACTGAAACAAGGACACAAGATGACCCATTGCAACAAGAATACCCACAGGACAGTATATTGGAAACGATCTTTACAACTTCAGGCAGCGAGGGGGAGAGGAGTAGGAGTATGGGAGGTGGGGGGGAAGGGACAGTGGAACAACAACAAGGAAAGGAAGGGGTACAATGATCGACAAGTAATGTACTCATGTAACTGTAATCCCTCTGTACAACACCTTAACAATAAAATAATTTAAAAAAAGATTCCACCTCTTCAAAAGAATACACGTCAAAAATGTCTCTAGTGAGGTACCAATGACTCATGTCTATAAGCCTAGCTATATATGAGGCTGAGATCTGAGGATCACAGTTTAGAGCCAACCTGGGCAGCCAAGTCCTTGTGACATTTCTCTCCCATTAACCAGCAAAAAGTTAGAAATGGGAGCATGATTCAAATGGTAGAGCCCTACCCCTAAGCAAGCAAAACAGCTGAGTTAGATGAGGCCGTGAGTTCAAGCCCCAGTACCAGTGTGTGCCCTCACCACAAAGTACACACACACACACACACACACACACACACACACACACACACACACACACACACCTCCAGATTACTTGGATAAAGTGATAGCCTACTGGAAGGCTGATACTACCCAGTGCATTGAATTCTCACAGAAGATCTGTGTCCTCCACGTTTGTTTGAAACTTTCCTTATTTCTGCTTCCCTTTTCCATCCTTGTCAGCACTTTGAGAAAAAAATAAAGCCTTAGAGCCAAAACTGGGTGGTTTGAACATTGCAGCCACAGCAAAACCTGATAACTTGGTATTAGCCGATCATTGTGTCTCCAGTGCATAAGTATTTCTGGCACCTAGCGGCTGCCAGGATTAGGGCTGACCAGATGGCCTGGGTCCATACTAGGACAGCTTTGTCCCATAGGTTTGAGCTTACAGTAGTGAAGGTTTTCCCACCCACCAGAGTTTGTGTACCACATTTACCTCTGCTTTTCTCTGCTTTTCCTCTTGCTCTCTTTGCTCCTTCTCCATGCCAACTAACTTCAGCTTCAACTCAGATACTTCAGTCATTAGATCAAGCTTCTGGGTCTCAAGAGATGTACGACTTAGCAGCTCCTATAAGAGAAACAGATCTTAAAAACCATAAACCACCATGGCAACAAGGACAGCTACAGCATCATATATAGCACAGAAGCCATTATCTGAGTTGTGTTCTGCACAGCAAAGAATGTATGAAGAATGCTGCAAAAGAGCCACACATCTGTCACGGATGGGCCTGAACTGACTCTGGATCACTCAGAGATAGCACAGTTGTTGATAGCCACTCTGCATTGAAAGACAAACTACATATCTCAAAAAACACCTTCCCTCATAAGATAATTGTTTACTATTTCCAAACTGATGAAATGAATGAATATCCTCAAAGAACCAACATTCTCCAGCTCTACTTTTAAGGCAGAGCATCAAGTTCTCTCTACCAGAACACACACAAAATAGCTTAGGTTAACACATCCAGGGTACAATTAATGCTCAGTCCACATATCTCAATGTAAGACTGCATTACAATGGACCCAGATGGAAGTCAGGATGTAAAGTGGATGTTCAATGAGTAGTATTTGGATGGTAATATAGGAATGTTATTAGTGTGTTAGATGGATATTTTCAGATCTTTACCAGAATTATAATTTGGCCACTGTGAGTTATACACAAGAATATTATTCCTTCCTGATTGTGAGGGGAGATCAGGCAGGTTATTATTAGTAATCTATAATCTCTCTAACAGTGACTGACTTCAATCAGAGATCTCAGACCCTTGATACCAAACCTGATATAAATATACATGCTTACTAAACATTTGTATTTGGAATATAAGAATGATACAGAGAAGACACTTGTGGAGGGGTACTAGGTAGTAGGAAAGATCTACATAACCAGAAGGGCTTCTCAAAATTTAGGGCGATGCATTTTTCCATTTGCCAAGAGTGATGATTCTCTGATGGCCAAAATCTAGGCAAAAGGTAGACTTTGGCTACCCAGGTCCTAACACAGAATGCACATGACAAATAGAGAGTAACAGACCAAAAATGCAGATGGAAAAGACACAATATACTGATATGGTCTGAATATTTTGTATCTTCCTGGGTTATGCAACCTGTGCATATGAATGTTGAACTCTACATTCCAACCCAATAGCTCTGATTTCAGAGATTTAGAACTGTCCTCAGATCATAAATCAAACCACACAGGCCAGAGAGTTTTACTGCCAGTTCTTGGAAAAGTTGGTGATAAACTATCAATCTGAGGGTGATGGCTATCTTCAAGTACATCAACTCAGCATAATGAGCTCCCTGACCCCTGGGCCAAGGCATCCAGTCCCTTCTGGTCCAGCCAGATTTGAAGTTGGCTGACAAGGCAAGGGCAGCATGATAGGGCACCAGAACTGCAGGCTCCTTGGCCACAAGGAGTCAGACAAATAAGTGTGTACAATGGAACAGAGAACTTGAATTTGTTGGTTGCCTCTGCTGATCTAGACACTGGTGGATGCCTTTCTATACATTTTCCTAATAAACCCTCCCAGGGATTAGCATCCAAGTTCTACAGATGAGTAAACAGGTCCTGAGAGGGTAAGGAAATCTTCTGGTCAATGATACACACTAATCATGAGTAGAGTTAGTTTCCAGATCAAGGCAGCTTTGGCTCCAGAACTCATTTCTGTCTAATGTATCACAATGTTTCCTAAGCACAGAAAAAAAAAATGTTGATTTTTTTTTTTTTTTTTTGGTCAGTCATAGGGCTTGAACTCTGGGTGTAGGCACTGTCCCTGGGCTCTTCAGCTCAAGGGGAGTGCTCTATTGCTTGAACCACAGCACCACTTCCGGTTTTCTAGTGGCTTATTGGAGATAAGAGTCTCATGGACTTTCCTGCCCAGGCTGGCTTTGAACTGTGATCCTCAGATCTCAGCCCCCTGAGTAGCTAGGATTACAGGCATGAGCCATCAGCGCCTGGCCATTCAAGAATTCATTTTTTTTCTTATGTGGTACTGAGGAATTGAACCCAGGGCCTCATGCGTGCAAGGTAAGCGCTCTACCACTGAGCCACCTTCCCAGCTCCCCGTTCAAGAATTTTTAAAGAAACAGAAAAAAGTATTGAAAAAAGGCAATCAACAAATATTCACAGTAATCCCAGGAAATGTCTACTGAGGTTTCACTGAGCACCTGTTATTCTTTATTTACTAGGGGTACTGATGCTAATGCTATGCAGGCCACAAGGTTCTGAAGCTGTTCTTCTATAGGTGTAGAGACATAGAAACGATGACTTCTCTTGATGCCAAGTATCTGGATTTTTTAAGATGCAATCTTCCTCCCCTTCCATAACACCTGTTCTCTTCTGCTCTTGTCATCTTCCCCCCCCTCCCATATCATTCTCTATATGTCTCTTTCCTTCATCTACTTGCCTGGTTCCAACAATGATTTAAAGAAGTTTTCAAACAAGTATTTCCAGTTAAAAATGAATAATAAAAGTTAAAGCTGTTAGAAAAAAAGAAGTTGAAGCTAGAGTTACAAATGATAGAAAACTGTGGAATGTATGTGTATGTGAGCTTCCTACATGCCAGTACAAAGAAGAAAAGGAGTAATTACATAAATCAGGGTCCATAAGAACAATTACTTCAAAGTAAAATCTATAAGAAAAAAAAATCTATAAGACCTCTTTGTTTTTAAACACTTACCAGAGGCCAACACCTAGTGACATGACAGTTGGAAACAAAAGCACTGTTGGTTACTTAAGTATGATACAGTTTTGACTATTTCTTAATATTCAAGATATTTCACTGGTGGAATTCAAAGAAGTCTCTGAATATCTCTCTCTTGAAAGCTACATCAACTACTTTACATCCATTCTTGCCAAAATTCCTCAGCTGTTTTATCAGGTTGTACCTGGTCACACCAATGTTCCAACCAAAGAAGGGAATATTGTAATTGGTTTCAATAGTCATCCAGTCGTGTTAGTGTTTGAATTGGTCACACTAACAGTCCAAGTGGACATTACAGTTGGATGTACAAAAATTTTGTTTAAAAACCTGAGATTTCTTCAATTATTATAGTTTTCTAATAACATTTTTACCTGCTCTCCCCTATCTATTAGATTCATTTTTACCTTTTACAATATTCCTCCCTTGTTCTGTTCCACAGTTTCAGTCTGTGAACTCAATAAATTTGTCACTCTTCAACAGGCTTATCCCAATCCCGTTCTATTTCCCCATCCCACCACTCAGCAAGACCACTGAATATTATTACACACTAGAATCATTAATATGCATGACTTGCTAGGAATTAACTACCCTATATCCTCAGTTGCTCCATCTACTTCCAAGCAGTGTCTTGGACTGTGAACAGTCAGGCTCTTCCCAATCATCTCAAATAGAGAACACTCTGCTCCTATAAACCCGGCTTACAGAACAAAGCGTGGACTTCAGCACTTTTTGTCTCCATCAATCATCCACATTTGCCTGGTCATGAGGCAGCATCCCCAAATACCTAGAACTAAGACAGTCGCCCGCTTTCTTTTTGTTTTCAGAGCAACAGCTAGTCTACCTACTTTAGGCGCTGGGCTTCTCCTCAGGAGCTTCCACATTGTTCTTAGTGACTTTTCTGTTCAGCATCCACTCATTGACCTGCTCAACTTCACATTGAACTCAGCTCCCAGGGTTTTGCTTCAGCTTCTCAGCCACAACTTGGTCTTGGTCTTTATCCAGAGAGTGCTCTGCTTCTAAAGCTTCAACCCTGAAATTCTCTACTCTGACAACACTCTTTTGACCTTTCAACTGTCCCACTTGCTCACTCAACCTCTAATTTCTACTGTGGCCACTAGTTACTCAATAACTCCCTGTTTTCCTGGTTTATCAACTCCCTTAAGCAGTAGTTGTCTCCTTGTCCACTGTATACCTGAAGGTTAGTCATTTCAATTGTAGTAATACCTACATTGAAAAACAGTCCTCTGCCCAATGCCCCTTACCCCAGATCTGATGGGAATCTGTTTATCAGAGCCTATTTCAATCAAATCTTACAGTCTTTGGTTTATATCTTTATTCCACATGTCCTGAAAATTGCTAAGGAACATCATTTCAACACCAATTCACACTGTTTAATTATAGCTTATCTCTCAACGCAGCCTAGCAGAATTTGTATCCTTCTCTCGCTGATTCCTTCCAGAGATTGCTCTGAACCTTTACTCTTCTCAACCTTTAAACCTTATGATGTCCTTTCTTCTTTTCAAATAACCTATCTTAGCACTTAATGAAAAGATTTTTTTTAAACCTGCAAATGATTCACTGCCTTTAAGTTGTACTTCTAAATTTCCTAGAATCATCTCATTCATATCTCAATCCCTGTCTTAGGGAAAGCCAATACAGGGCTCCTTTCCAGGCTTTAGTACCACAATAACAGACTGTTGTCTTCTCTGACAGGTACTCTGACTTTTAAGAATTATTTCCAGATTATACACAATGTTTCCAGATTACACATGAGAAGCATACACAGAATTCCTTCCTCAACTTCCCCGTCTGACTGACCTTCCTGCCTCTGGCCATTCCCATCTCTATATGCTTCAGAGATTCTCGCACATCTGGATGAATCATGGGTTACCTCCACTAGGTAGCCAGTAGTCTTTGGCTTTGCTCCTGATTTCTGGTTCTGATTCTCCTTCCAACTGGTAACTCAGAAGGACTCCCATTTACATAGCTCTAGCCTCTCTCTCACTTCTGCCCTCTTTAAAGAGGTTCCCACCAAGCTCTGTGCAAGTCTAGGGTAGGGCCATCAATCATCCGCTCTGACAGGCATTTAATCTCTCCCTTACCATCAGCTCCCATTCCTCAGGCTATAAACAAGATCAAATTTCTGGCATTCTAAAGAAACTCTCTTGACCTTGAATGAGCTTCCAGTTACCACTTTCAGCCCCCCCAAATCTTTCCTCTCTCTCTCTCTCTCTGTGTCTCTCTCTCTCTCTTCTCAATCAGTGAATGTGTGTTTTTGTAACCTAGCTCCTGCCCTTCACCTATATAGGGCAGGGCACAGAAATAGTTTCACTTCCTGGATCCACTGTCCAAACTTTAGATGCAA